CAGTTGGGAGGGTTGGGTATACTTCTCATGGTGCAATTTTTTTCCAACATTTTATTTCTAAATTTGCTGTATTCATTTTTGGCCAATTTCCACAAGGCCATTGTTTATTTGCAGTTAGGTGCATAAACATGAGGAGTGTTACTGCAGTAAAAATGTCTAAATTTGTGCGCAGATACATATCTTATAGCTCTATATTTACCTTTACCATATTTTTGTGAAGTTACAGGACCAAATTAGAGAACAGAATGAGGTTGATGTATCATTTATTTAAAATATTAATAATATTGTCACAATTTGGTGTACCTTAAGAATTCACAAATTCAATGAAATTGAATGCCATGCGAAAGAGAAAAATACAAGGTATCTCACATTTTGGGCCATTTTAAAAGCACTGACACTAGTATAGCAGTGTGCAAATGTATGGTACTCCTGGGTCAGAAAACATATGTGTGTCTAAGAGTAATGAGAGTCACAGTCCACAGCTTATTGAATACATGTATACTCTAATCCTAATGTGCTGGTGTCAGGAGTGCCCTGGCACCATTTATGCTTATGATAATTTTTATGTAAGTGTTGGGGCTGGGGTGATTGCATAATATGGGCACATGTTTATTCAATAAGGCAAGAAACTTAAATGGATGATCATAGAATAAAGGTCTACTAAGTAGAATAAACATCAGATCCATGTCACGTAGGGACAACCTTTTTACAGGGGGAAATTGCATGTATTGGTATTATCCTCTGATCTAAGAGTGTTCTATTCAGCTCTAAACATTGTAGCTCCATTCTGTTCCTGCCAACATCAGCTGGGCTACCATGCTTGCCTCTAGCCTGCAGTCGAGAACCTTATCTTTTTTTATGTATTTGCAATTATTATGGTTATGGTTATCCACACTGCCTTTTCTTCTTCAGCTCCTTACCCAGGCAGGTATCCACACCCCTGCCTATACTACGATCAGCCACTGCCTTAAAGGACCACTCTAGGCACCCAGACCACTTCAGCTTAATGATGTGGTCTGGGTGCCTGGTCCAGCTAGGATTAACCCTTTTTTTTTATAAACATAGCAGTTTCAGAGAAACTGCTATGTTTATAAATGGGTTAATCCAGACTCTAAATCCTCTAGTGGCTGTCTCATTGACAGCCGCTAGAGGCGCTTGCGTGCTTCTCACTGTAAAAATCACAGTGAGAAGATGCAAGCGTCCATAGGAAAGCATTATAAATGAGACTGGCTGAATGTGCGCGCAGCTCTTGCCGCACATGCGCATTCAGCCGAAGAGGAGGATCGGAGGCGGAGAGGAAGAGGAGAGCTCCCCGCCCGGCGCTGGAATAAAGGTAAGTTTAACCCCTTTCCTCGCCATCCAGCCCGGCGGGAGGGGGACCCTGAGGGTGGGGGCACCCTCAGGGCACTATAGTGCCAGGAAAACGAGTATGTTTTCCTGGCACTATAGTGGTCCTTTAATAAAGGCAATTGTAGCTCTCAGGCCTAGCTCTTGTATTAACTTGTCCCAAGATAAAGGGACCAAGCAGGGCCCAACTGTTTTTTTCCTTGTTACCCTCAATAGGTGCATTGTGAAGAGGAATCTGTTCCAGCTAACCACTTGAAAGAGAAAACGGAGAACATTATACAGCACATGACAGAGCACTTTTAGGGTGGACGGCAAGTTTCCTGAGTTCATGGTTCCTCTCTAGAAAGATAAGAGAGTCATATTTAAACAGTTTTCCTGTTCAAGTTTGTTCAGTAAAGTTCAAATGACCCCATACTAAATGTTGCAAAAGCATCCATTTGCATATTGAGACATTGTAAAATTGGGACTTTGATCACAAAATCTATTTACATCCAGATTTTAAAATTCTGGCTGCGAACCAGTCATATAACTGTAGAATCGGACTCAATATGGTTGCTCAACAAGATAGACAGACAGAAAAATTAAATTTTTAATAAAATTAATGTGCAAAAATGTTTTTCATTAAATGTAATACATTTGTAAAAAAAAAACTTTGTAAAAATGTGATGTCAGTTGTCCTTTAACCACAATAGAAGATAACAACAAAAAAGGAATTTTATTTTATTTGTAGCTTATTGCTGTATAAGAATGCTTTCAGATCCTGAATTTCAAAGAAAATGTATGTAGAGTGAGTAGTTGGTAGAAGTGATCTTATTCCTCTGTTGACTCTTGTTAAAATAACAAAACAGTTCGAATGCTGAAAAGGCAAAGCAAAACAGTAATGAAACATTGTAGTTACACATTTTTAGTACTTCAAGAGCGCTGTAGTGGATATGGTGCCTGGAGTTCCTTGGTGCCTTCCCAATTCAAGTAGTAAACTGGATGTTCTCAGCCAGAGCGTGATAGAGACCTGTGCCCAGCAGACTCCAGGTAAGAAGTGAAACCTTTAGCAAACAGTTTGCCTACTTATATTGGGTTGTGCTAGGGCACTAATGGTGCCATAATCATTACAGCATGATGTGGTAATTATTTTGCTTAGGGTCTTCTTTTAAGAAGTAATGGCAGTTTATATAATAAATAATTCAGTTTAATATTTTTACATCAATACCAAAATCACCATTCAGTCTAGAACAAACTGCCCTGAGTTGTCAGTTAAGATAGTATCAGTGCTACAGAAACTTGAAGAGGTATCCCACTAGGGAATCCAAAAACTGGTAATACTTCACATCACACAGAAGTATTTAATAGAAAATAAATTCATGGAAAAATGTAGACAGAGAACTGGGGATTGTGGATACAAATTAACAGTTTGTAGGATAAACAATGTGTCTCATGTCTCAACAGATTTTTTTTATTGAAATGCCAATTAGACCACTATTAAAACTGCCTGTTATCCAGCTGATGTTAATTAAAAAGCATATTGAAAAGGAAAAGTGTGCATCTATGATTATTAACTTGAAAGAGAATAGCATTGACATACTACTATAAATTGATAAAACAATAGTAAGAATTACAACATAGGGGTGTCTTACAGGAAACAGATTCAGAATAGTGAATTAAAAGAAACAGCTATATTGTGATTGGAGGATATACTGCCATTTGAGATCATTTTGTGCAAGGAAATTCCCCAGATTGAAAGAATAGGTTTTTTTTCATTAAATGTGATAAATTTTTAAAAACGAGATAAACACAGTTAAAGGGACACTATAGTCACCAGAACAACTACAGCTTATTGAATTTGTTCAGGTGTGTAGAATCCTTACCTTTTTGCTGTAAACACTGTATTTTCATAGAAAAAGCAGTGTTTACACTACAGCCTAGTGATAACTTCACTGGCCACTCCTCAGATGGCTGTTAGAGATCCTTCCTGGGTCATGGCTGCCTAAAATGCATCCAAACATTCAGTATCTCCTCCCTCTGCATGCAGACACTGAACTTTCCTCATAGAGATTCATTGATTCAATACATCTCTATGAGGAGATGTTGATTGGTCAGGGCTGTGTTTGAATTGTACTGGCTGTGCCCCTGATCTGCCTCTTTGTCAGTCTCAGCCAATCCTATGGGGAAGCACTGTGATTGGATCAGGCTACCACTTCTGATGATGTCGACAGACTGCTTGTTTTTCTGAGGCAAAAAGCATGCAGATCTACAGCTTCAGGCTTGAATACAGTAAGATTTTGCTATATTTATGGAGGCAGAAGGGGACCAGGGGGGGGGCTAGATGGTGGTTTTAACACTAACAGGGTCAGGAATAGATGTTTGTGTTCCTGACCCTATGGTGATCCTTTAATATCAGAAGCTAACTCTGAAATACTAAGCTTTAAAATACTGATAAATCTCCTAACAGCAAAAGCTGTCCTTGAAAGTAAAACACATACCTCAGATTGCCTCAGTACTAACAGACAACCTACAGTGCCAGGTATGGACCCTAAGCTAAATACCTCAGTTATCTCAGATCTCTGAGATAACATACAACCATTGCAGGCTACCCCCCTTCTAGATTACAATCACACAACCCACCCTAAGATTGACATGTAAGCAAAGTGAAGAAACGAGTGCTCAGTGAAAATGAAGCATGTGGAATAAGCAAAATCCATTAAGGGTAATTATATAGCTGTCTTATTTGAAATAGCAAATTACACTATAGCTAATTTAATGATTGTACAGCAGTAAATATGTTCTTGTAGTTTAGCAAATGTGAATTACTTAAAAGGAAACTATAGTGCTAAGAAAACAAACTTGTTTTCCTACCACTATAGAACAATGCACCTTCAGCACTGGAAGGGTTAAAAACCCTTCTGTCCCTTACCTCAGTCCAGCACCAATGTCCTTCGGGGCTGGGTCAGACTCTGCCTCCACTCCTCCACCAACATCAGCCGGCAGTGGGACCTGTGCATGTGCGCTGAGCACCACACTCACATCAGGACTAGCCCATAGGAAAGCATTGCTTCATGTTTTCCAATGGGGATTTAGAGATGCTGGATGTTCTCAGCCAGAGCATGAGGATGTCCAGCATCAGGTAGGTGACCAAAAGTCACTTAACCATCTGGAAGTGCCTCTAGAGGTAGGTTAACCCTTCAATACTCTGTAGTGGTCAGTAAGGGCCCCTTAAGGGATTTGCTTATTTCACTAGCCATAGCTCATGGAAGTAAAATAGTTTGTCATATTCCACTATATGATATCAGTGTGATGTCAAAGCACAAGAGATGAAACTGATATTTAGTTAATTTAAGCTTACAAAACGCAAGTATAAAACAAATACCTTTTACCAGACTGCAAAAGGTCAAATCCTTTATTGATTTCCTCAAAAGGTAGTCTGTGTGTCACCAGCTTGCCCACATCAACCTTTTTTTCCATGTAAGCGGTAACCAATTTTGGGATAGCATCCTTGACCCTCAACCCTAAATAACAAATTTATTGTGTTAAAAGTAAACATATATAACTAATTTACATATATCGTATATTCCATGTGTTGGGTAATATAAAGCTGCCTGTGATTTGCCTTAAGCATTTGACTTCTACATTGGTTTTATTCTTTAGCTTCAACCTACCTTTAACAGATTTGAAATCTCAATGAACATTATTCTGTAAAGGTAAATTATACTCAGGTTAATTTTCAAGATCTGAGTTGATTGAAATATTGAATGAGTTATGCTTTTAAAAGCACAAAGGGGATAGCGCAAGAATTAACATCATCCATCAGAAAACTGTGCTCTACACATTATATTATACAAAGAGAAGCTATTACTAAGCTGAGGATACTGTTAGACTCTGTGTACTGTATTTAATCACGGTTTTACCAGGGATCAATATTTCCTCTCTACCATTAGGTGAATGAAAATTCAGCCCTGAATTCTACCTTGCTAAGTTGTCATGGACCCAAACTTTCAAAGGCAAGTCCATTATCAGGCTGACTAGTAGTATAAGATGTACAATTTTGAGTCTTGGCTTCACCATATATTTTCTTTCTCTCGTTTACTTTATTTTCAAATGCTGGGCCTCAATTGGCTAGCAAACTGCAACACGCTTGAGATTTTTGAATCTTGGCTGGTAAAGATTCAGTGGCATTGTCATTTGCAAACAATTGGAGGTTTGATATATTATGAATCCTGTTGGCTTATTACCAATGTATCTCTTTTATAAATACTTTTACTGACTGACCAAATAGTAAGGGTTTCTCAATCTTTTAGACAGTAGTTGAAGTGCTGGTAACATAATCAATAATACATATGGGTACATTAGTGATAATAGTGCATACAACCTTAAAACTGCAGTGTTAAAAATATCTAATTCTAATGAATGTAATAATGAATAATACTCTCCCACCTCCTCTCTATGTTCCGTATAGGAATTCTTTACTTTGACTCTTGATATATTTTGACATTCTTACCTTTATGACGTTGCCTGTGCTGCTCCTGTTTTCCAATACTCCTTAATGCTTCCTACCACATATTGTCCTTGTAACATGCTTCCTTCTTTTACAACCCTATTAATGCCTGGGGGTACCTGCTACTACATTATCAACTTGCAACAGTCTCTGTGTGCTTATGTAGTAGTAGATAGCTAAATATATGGTATAGTAAACTTTATAAAACATGTATTAAACATCAACTTGTTTGTAATTATGTTACACTGTAAAATGTAGTAGAATCTGCTGGTGGTATGTAAAAAATAAATTATAGTGAGATAAAAATACTATACCTCCCAAAATAGAACTTGCCATTTTACGTCCAGTCAAAAAAATCATTGGATCAATGGTAATCGTTTCATTTTTATCAGAAACGCCAACAATTACAGTCGTTCCAAATGCAAAATGGCTGGACTTTATTGCTGCAACCTGCAATGTAAAAAGTATGCAATTATTGTTTGAAAACACATTTATGATTCTGAAGCAATCTGCAACCTGGAGGGAAAATGGATTTTGAGGGCTATAGTGAGTTGACAAAATATAGAAAAATGTAGACTAGTAAATATGTATTTAAAGTTGGGATGGGGTAGGCAACCTTCAGAACTATGGAATGGAAAGTGAAATGTCAGAAAACTTTTTGTCAGGCTACAAAGTAATCCTTGAATAATAAGTAATTTTGCTCTTCATAGTAAGGTGTGATGCACATACCATAGTGTTTGTGTTACCAACACATTCAAATACATAGTCCAAACCACCACCAGTTTTCTCCTGAAGTACTTGTTCAATGGTTTTATCATAATCTTTGGGATTGATGCACTCAGTTGCTCCTAATTCTTTAGCCAGGTCAAACTTGTCCTTGTTGATATCCACTCCAATGATACGGGACGCACCAGCTGCTTTACAACCCATGACAGCCGCAAGTCCAACGCAACCCAAACCAAATACAGCACATGTAGACCCTGGATGTACCTGAACAAAAAATATTTTAAGTGACTCTTTGGGTAAAAAGGTGTTTTACAGAAGACATTTAAATCAATATACATCTGACAAAGCTATAATGTTCAATGTCCCAAATCTCATAGGCTTAATATATGCTAGAATTAAAATTTTCAAATATCATTGATACATTTCACACCAACCTTGCACATGTATTATTATTAGTAGTAGTAGTAATTATATTATTCCTTATTCCATCTTATTCCGCAGCCCTTTACAATATTATAACAGGGAGAACTTTAACAATAAATGAGACAATTACAAAGTGTTACAGGTAGAATGGGTAGATGAGGACCCTGCTCCCATGAGCTTAGAGTCTAGAGCCGGGCTTTCCAAACTTTTATGGGCCGAGACCCACTTTTCAAAACGGTCATTTTTCGAGATCCACTTGCTTTTAATGCGTATTTTAAAAAGTGAACACCATGGCAATCAGCTTCAGAGGCATACAATTGGCAAACTGTAGCAATCCGCTTTAGATGCATACAATTGGCACACAGTGGAAATCTGCTTTAGATGCATACAATTGGCACACCATGGCAATCAGCTTTACATGCATAAAATTGGTACATCATGGCAATCAGTTTTAGAGGCATACAATTGGAACATCATGGCAGCTTTAAATACATAAACTTGGCACACCATGGCAATCAGATTTAGATGCATAAACTTGGCATATCATGGCAATCACTTTTAGATGCATAAACTTAGCACATCATGGCAATCAGCTTCAGAAGCATACAATTGGCACACCATGGCAAACAGATGCATAAAATTGGCACACCATGGCAATCAGCTTTAGATCATAAAATTGGCATAACATGGCAGTTTTAGAGGCATAATTTTGATATATCATGGCAGTTTTAGAGGCAGAAACGTTGCACATCATGGCAATCAGTTTTAGATCATAAAATTGGCATAACATGGCAGTTTTAGAGGCATAATTTTGATATATCATGGCAGTTTTAGAGGCAGAAACTTTACACATCATGGCAATCAGTTTTAGAGACATACAACTGCTTACTCACAGACTCAGAATCAGAAGTGCTGTTGTCCTGCTCTTTCATCCAGGCACCTCACATTGATTATCCTAGTGGTGGAACTAATGTAGAGAGGACTCTGGTGCAAATATGTTTTCTGGGCCCCCATCTAGTGAAAGTGTGGCCAAAAGGTAGATCTCCATCTGTCGGAGAACTTCAACAATAATGTGCCAGATGGAGATCTACCATTTGCGCATCATTGCAGGCAGGGCCGGACTGGCCCACCGGGATACCGGGAAATTTCCCGGTGGGCCGCGGCACCTGGGGCCGGTCTGACAGCCCTGATCATTGGGCTGACAGCTCCTGTGATCCCGGCCGGCCATGTGTGAGCTGTGCGGCCGCACAGAGCCCCATGGGAGCAGGGGGAGCCAGGCGGGCGGCACAGCTCACACATGGCCGGCAGGGATCATAAAAATTTTTTTTTAAAAATTGCGGCGGGGCGGAGCTTTAGTGCGGCGGGGGCGGGGCTTAGCGGAGGCGGAGCTTACTGTCCGGCGGGGCCCAGCTGACTGCAGCATGGGAAGCAGGAATGAGTCCCTGCTTCCCCAACAACCAGCCTCCAGGAGCTCCAAGCAGGAGGTAAGAAGCAGGTCAGTGTGTTTGTGTGAGTGTGTGACTGTCTGTGAATGTGTGACTGTCTGTGAGTGTGTGACTGTCTGTGTGTGACTGTCTGTGTGAGTGTGTGACTGTCTGTGTGTGACTGTCTGTGTGAGTGTGTGACTGTCTGTGTGTGAGTGACTGTCTGTGTGAGTGTGTGACTGTGTGTGACTGTCTGAGTGTGTGACTGTGAGTGTGTGACTGTGAGTGTGTGACTGTGAGTGTGTGACTGTCTGTGTGTGACTGTCTGTGTGTGACTGTCTGCCTGTGTGTGTATGTGTGTGTGGCTGTCTGCCTGTCTTTGTATGTGTGGGTGTTTGCCTCGGTGTCAGTGACTGTCTGCCTGTGTGTGTGTGTGTGGCTGTCTGCCTGGGTGTCAGTGACTGTCTGCCTCTGTGTGTGCGCGCATCTGCTAGTAAGGGAGCCTGTGTGTGTGTGGGTGTGTGCCTGTTAGTGAGTGAGCTTGTATGTGTGTCAGTGAGCTTGTCTGTAGGGATCATATGTGTGTGTGTGTTAGTGAGCGTGTCTGTAAGGAGCATGGGTGTGTCGGAGCCTGTCTGTGGTGAGCATGTGTGTACAGTGAGCTTGTCTGTAGTAAGCATGAGTGTGATCGTGAGCTTGTCTGTAGTGACCATATGTGTTTCACTGAGCTTGTCTATAGTGAGCATGTGTGTGTCAGTGAGCTTGTCTGTAGTGAATCTGTGTGTTAGTGAGCTCTTCTGTAGGGAGCGTGTGTGTCAATGGGCTTGTCTGTAGGGAGAGTGTGTGTGCATCAGTGGGCTTGTCTGTAGTGAGCGTGTGTGTGTGACAGTGAGCTTGTCTATAGTAAGCTTGTGTGTGTGTATCAGAGTTTGTCTTTACTAAATTTGTGTGTGCGCCAGTAACCTTGTCTGTGTGTGTCATTGTCTGTCAATGAGCCTATTTGTGTGCATCAGTAAGATTGTCTGTCTGTGTGTGAGTATGCTTTACTGTATAATTTAATTACCATAAAAGAACTAATATTTTGAATTAGAAGAAGAAATGTATCAATACAAAATATATATATATATTGTTGCATCACCAGGGCTCCAGTATCCAGTATATATGTGTATATATATATATATATATATAGGCAATTGAAATAGTTGGCTGTACTCTCGGATTTCCTTAAAATTTTACTTTTGTTGAAATATTTAAGAGAAGATCAACGTTTCAGTCCCTCTTGTGGACTTGCATCAGGATCATGACGAAAGTCCACAAGAGGGACTGAAACATTGATCTTCTCTTAAATATTTTAATAAAAGTTACATTTTCAGGAAATCCAAGAGTGCAGCCAACTATTTCAATTGCATATATATATATATATATATATATATACAACACCCTACATAGCACAATGACTGGCTGTGGGGCTGGCATAGATTTTTTTCCAGGGCTGCTTCGTATCCCCAGTCCGGCCCTGATTGCAGGGTTATATTTGTGAGCAGTGTTTGAATGTAAGCATGTTTTTGTAATAAGTATATGTGTGCATGTATGGGTGTATTTGTATGTACTGTTGCTATTGGAATGTAGTGCTGTACTTGTTTGTAATGTTTGCGTCTGAATGCAGGGGTGTTTGTATATGTAGTGTAGGACTTTAAATGCAGGTGTGTTTTTTGTGTGTAGTGTTGGTGTTTGAATGAAGGGGTGTTTGTAGATCATTTTAGTGTTTTAATGCAGGGGTGTGTTTGTATGTAATGTTTGAGTTTGATTGCAGTGTGTGTGTGTGTGTGTGTGTGTGTGTGTAGTGGATGCAGTGTGTGTATATTGTGTCTATAAAATATACATATACACAATGTGTGTTTCAATGTAAGCATGTTTTTTTTTGTATGGAGTATGTGTGCACTGTATAGACACACACACAGACACTCAAATACACACAGTGAAACAGCGATACACACAATGACACTTAGTTTCCCACACACAGATACACAGATACTCATGTAAACAGATACACACAGACACACAAATGCGCACACACACACTGACACAAAAGGACACGCAGAGACAGGAGATGAGGGTGACAGTGTGGGAGAGAGTGTGTGAACTGGTAACAGTGTGGGGGCAGTGTGAGAAAGGGTTACAGTGGGCAGGCAGGGGGAGAAAGGGTTACAGTGTGGGGGGGCATGGGGAGAAAAGGTTACAGTGTGGGGAGAGGGGCAGGGAGAGAAAGGGTTACAGTGGGGGGTAGGCAGAGAAAGGGTTACGTGGAGGGAGGGGGCAGGGAGGAAGGGGTGGCAGTGGGGAGGTAGGCAGAGGGGTTACAGTGGGGGGCAGGAGAAGGGGTACAGTGGGAAGGGCAGACAGAGAAGGGGTTACAGTGAGGGGCAGGCAGAGAAGGTGACAGGGGAGGGGAGGCAGAGAAAGGGTACAGTGGGGAGGGTAGGGCTGGGTACAAGGGTCACAGTGGGAGGGAGGCGAAAGGGTTGCTGTGGGGAGGTAGGCAGATAAGGGGTTACAGTGGGAGGGGCAGAGCTGGTTAAGTGGGGGAGGGTAGGCAGGGAAGGGGTTACAGTGGGGGTGGCAGCAGATAAGGTTACAGGGTGCAGGCGAGGTTGCTATGGGATGAGGCAGAGAAGGGCTACAGTGGGGAGGGGAGGCAGAGAAGGGGTTACTGTGGGGGGGATAGGGCAGGCAGAGAAGGGGCTACAGTGGGGAGGGTGGCAGGCAGAGAAGGGTTACAGTGGGGGGGAGGAGGGCAGGCAGAAGGGTTACACTGGGGAGTAGGCAGAGAAGGGCACAGTGGGGGCAGTAGGCAGAGAAGGTGTTACAGCAGGTAGGCAGAGAAAGGTGTTACAGGGGGGCAGGCAGAGAAGGGTGTTACAGAGGGGCAGGCAGAGAAGGGGTTACAGGAGGGTGAGGCAGGGAAGGGGACAGTGGGGAGGGTAGGCAGATAAGGGTTTACAGTGGGGAGGGTAGGCAGATAAGGGGTTACAGTGGGGGGTAGGCAGAGAAGGGGTTACAGTGGGGAGGGTAGACAGAGAAGGGGTTACAGTGGGGGGAGGGGGCAGGCAGAGAAGGGGTTATAGTGGGGGAAGGGGGGCAGGCAGAGAAGGGGTTACATTGTGGTGGTGGGGGGCATTGTTTGGGCTCTCTGCCCTACCTTCTTTAAACATCCCTGGTGGTCCAGTGGGTTAACGCTCCGGTCTGCAGTTCCGCTGGGTGCAGAGCTGCAGACAGTGTAATAAAAGTCTTGCGAGCTCCCAGAGTGTTGCCATGGTGATGCTCTGGGTGCTCGCAAGACTTCTATCACACGGTCTGCAGCTCTGCACCTGGCTGAGCTGCAGACCGGAGGTGCTAGGCAGACTGATTGGAGGGCCCTGGATGTGTGGGTCAGCGCGACCCACTGGGAAGCGCCCTGCGACCCACCAGTGGGTCGTGACCCACACTTTGGGAACCGCTGGTCTAGAGGAATTCATAACATGAGCAGACATCTTATTAATGTATTATTTTAAAAACAAATCTAATTTTTGTGAATTTGTAAATGTATTCATGTATTAGTGCTTGTTTTTACAAAATTTAGTTATATAAAGAACATAAAATGAGATACAGATGGGCATGAGAAAAAAAAACTAACTGCACAGTGAATATACACAGTAGATGGAGCAAATATGCATCGGTATATAATCATAATAAGATTAGCATGTACCAGTAACTAAAACAGCAATTATTATTATTATTGGTATTTATATAGCACCAACTAATTCCACAGTGCTTTACAATATTATAAAAGAGGTGAAATTTACAATACATGAGACAATTACACAGTGACACAGGAACAATAGGTAGATGAGAACCCTGCTTAAACAAGCTTATAGTAGTGCAGATACATCAGAACTTGAGCGTAAAACAACTTTTCAGACTAGCCGACAAGAAATGATAGCATTGTATAGATACCATTAAAGAAAACAAGAAGAGAGTAAAGGGAAAAATAAAGGAAAGAGATAAAGTCCTAAGAGGAAAAGTAGAAATATAATATATGAAGTCAGTAGGTAAATGATTTTTCCCAAACAGGGAGCCAAAATGGATGCACCTCAACAGAGGCAGGTACAGCTTTGTGGACTTCCTATTTTTAATAATTTTTCAAATACACATATTCATTAATAGTTTGTAGTGCAGGGTTAGGCAACCTTTGGCATTCCAGGTACTGTGGACTACATCTCCCCTCCTACTCCTACATTCATAATGCTTGCAAAGCATCAGGGGAGATGTGGTCCACAACATCTGTAGTGCCGAAGGTTGCTTACCCCAGTTATAATGGATAAGTAAAACGTTTTTATTATGTTTTATAAATATACTACTCTCATATTTTTACTATTATTATTATTATGGATATACATCCAATAGATTTGTGGATCGTGTATACATAAATATATTTTTTGGGGCAAGTGGTCTGAGACTGGCTAGTTTTGTTGATCCTGGGCTCTTCCTGTCTGCTGAGATTAAAAAAGTTATTTGCGCTCCAGAGTGGAACGCACATGGGCGGTAGACCTGATTACGTCTCATCACCGTGCATGCCCACACACTACGAGAGGACGCAGCCTGGCATATTTAAATTGCCGGTCCTGGAAAAAAGACAAGCTCCTGACGAAGTGTAAGAACCTAGACGAAACGCGTTGAGCATACTTTTTACCCTGAAAGGATTACTGCGGCTGGAAGTCAGACACTTCGTTATTGCTGCCTTCTGATTGACGGTCAGTGAAGAGGGACTGTTCCTGATACTCCTTACCATTTAAGACTACTGTTACCAGGGGATTAGCCTAATTGAGGCAAATACGTTTTTGCACATATTGATGTTTTCAATTGTGCCACTACATTTGTGAGTGTTCCATTTTTATTTTATGTTTATCTCATTGTTTATTAAAGCATTTGCATATGATTTCTCTTCTATTTTTCATGTGAGTTCTACATGCTCAGCTACAAGTTGGTAAATATATACACCACTCTGTTTGAGAAGTATCGCCCTACAAAGTATTTTCACTTTTCTTGTATACAGTTTTTCTTTGCACTGACTTTTAAAGGGATATAGGGAGTGTGTCCCAGTAGTGGCTTGCCTGCACATTTCTTTGTCAGGTGATCTCACTATTTGTGTTTTTGTATAATAGATAAGTAGACATAACATAAAAAATGCTTGATAATGACAATTCCCCTTTAAAGTTCATCATTCAGTGTCTGATTGATACAATGTTGGTTTTCATCTCCACTAACCCACTGTGTAGTTTGTAGATTTAACTTTTTACTTTCAGAACTGGGTACAATGGGGGAGAATTATTTAGAGTTTTTTGTAAGAAGTGGTAGAGAAATATAAGAGGGGTGGAATCACCAATCAAATGTGTTAGCCAGTCTATAATTTTCGTCATATTCCATGATCTAGACTTTCTGACAAAACACACATAACTTGTTTATTGGTCCAGTTGAGTTGCCTTGATTGTTCACTATTGTTGTTTAGAGTATAAATAATGCATAATGAGAACATGCAATTGCTTAATAATAGCATAATAGAGAAGCACTAGCTCTGTTCTTATTCCATCCCTTTATGCTGGTTTAATGAAAGAGAGATGGGCAATCTGTAACAATGATGGCATAAATATCCCGCACTGGCCCTCCATTGCATTAATACAAGGTTACTTAGTTATAACCTGCATCCTCCATATATGTAATTTTTCCATTCACTTATGGAAGAAATATTAACAGATATAAAAATATATCAGGTTACGTAATACTATTCAGGGTTCTAATATCAGTCACGGAGGTCACCTGTCAAGTTAGATACACCTCAACAAATAGGCATGCAGATATACATGTTCAGAATACCTTGGCTGTGTTTAAAGCAGCCCCATAACCAGTTGTGAAGCCACATCCAATAAGAGAGACATTATCCAGTGGTGCGTTGTTATCAATTTTAGTGGCTGCAATTTCTTCAACCACAATATATTCGCTAAAGGTGCTAGTGTGAAAAAAATTATAGATTTGTTTTCCTTTGCAGGTATATCTGCTGGTGCCATCAGCCATCAGCCCTCTGCGATTATCTGTGCTATGAGAAACAGAATGCATAGTTTGTTTGAATGTAGGTAATTATATGAAAATTTAAATTGCACTGTTTTTAGATATGATTCAAAACACATTTAAAACATTAACAAAGTAGTATTAAGTATTCATCTTTGTACATTAAAATTATGGCTTTCCAGTAGTGGTACAGAAGTTAATGGTTTAGTGATTTACTACTCTTCATATTTAAACATTTGTGCTTGGGCTGGTGAGATACAAAATGATAGAAGAAAACCCATACCACTATATTTTACATTACATAACATTTCAACTTCTGTGCTAACTCAGACATAAATAAATTATTCCTTTATTCACCCTATTGGGGCAATTAAAAATGCATGCTGCTTCCCTTGTGGATGATGGAGGAAGCAACTGCTTCAGTCTGCTCTGGATGTAGGCTTGGGTGAGCAGCACAGGAAGGAGACCTCCCCTGTGGTGGCTGAAGGAGCTCTACAGAGACCTACCTTTACCCTGACCAAGTTGAGACACAATGCAACAGCTGACTGCAGCAATCCTGGTCATTTTGACGGCTTCAGCAGTGCAGCCTGGGAGGTACACTGGGTGGGAGCAACAGCCAATCTCCCAACCAGGAGCACCATTTCCCCCCCTTTGGATCTTGGTCTCCTCCTGGGAGTCTACCTAGCTGTGACGGGTCCAAGTGGTGTTGCCGGGAGAGATGGTAAATGACATGAAGACATGCATCGTGGTGGACGCCACTAGGTTACTCCAGTCACTGCAGTTTGAAGTGTGACCGTATCTTGGAAGAATTTTCAGACATTCTAGTCTGGATCTCAGAGTGCGACAGTCTACCCCACAGAAGTGGCCTCTCACCTATACTGCTCATGCCCAGTCTGCAAACACCTGAACTGAGGGGCCTGACGTACCTCTCCATAATACTGGACTGTGCTCTGCCCCTTGAGAGCATAGGCTAAATTGGGATATATGGTGGAACTCTTTAGGGTTCATGGCCATGTATTTCTTCCTTTTGCCAAAGATTATATGGGGATTTTTTTCTGCACCCTCAACAGCTGTTACTTTAATCTTTTATGTTCTTCTGCTGATCTTTATATTACTTCCCTCAATTAAGTGCATATCTCAATGTCTTATTGGGGACATAGGAGGGATCACACTGCTAGTTAACTGACAATATATTCCTTTTTTTTAAATATACTTTCTTTCTAAAATGAGGCCGAATAACTCTACTGACCTAATCGAATATCTTATACATAGGCATGCGCAGCCTATTGCATTAGGGTGTGCACCCTAAAGCACAAACACACATGCCGCGTGTATGTGTGTGTGTGTGTGTGTGTGTGTGTATATAAAATATATATATATATACATATATATATATATATATATATATATATATATATATATATATATATATATATAATTTTTTTATATACACACACACGCATACATACACTGCTGTGTGTGAGAGTGCTGTTTGTGTGTGCGTTTGAGGGTGGTGTGTGTGTGTGTGTGAGAGGGTGCTGTTAGTGTGCTGTGTGTTTTTGAGGGTGCTGTGTGTGTGTGTGAAATTGTTTGTAGTGATTGTGTGGGGGGGGGGAGGGGACAGATTAGGAAAGGTAAGAAGGATCCCCCCTCCCTTCTTACCTTTTGCCTGGGAGGGGGGATCCTTGCTGCCATCCCTGATCCCTGGTGGTCTTAGTGGTGAGAGTGAGTTTTGTGTTACTTCTATTTTTCACTACAAAACCAGTTGTTACTGATAAAAAGAAAAAAACAAACCTAAAAAGTGACCAATAAGTTACCTTGCAGGTACTTCCAAAACCCAGATTACATTGTCTGTAATGTGATGTTTTTATTTGCCTATTCCGGTTTACAGGTTCTGTGTAAATCCAGGAAGCTCATGGCACTTTCTGTTTACCTATTTAATTGCAGGAAGCAGATCAAGGACAGCAGGGTGCAAAGCAGTTCACTGTTTTCATCTAGTAATAGAGCAATAAACTGGAGTCTTATCTTCCTAAACTGCTATTTGCCTGTGGATCTCCAAATAAGACATCCTGGGTAAGGTAAATAAATAAATCCTGCAACTTCAAATTCATTACAAGGAAGACAAACAGAATATGTTCCTTCCTGTGTTTATTTGTTAGGGAAATAAAATTTTACAATTTTTTGCTGTTCCATTGGGGTCTAAAGAAATAGAAAAAGGCTTCTGTAAGGAATAAGCCAATAATACCCTTTTTACATGGCTAGCTAGTGGGTGTGGGGGGACAGATTAGGAAAGGTAAGAAGGATCTACCCTTCCTTCTTACCCTTTGCCTGGGAGGGGGATCCTTGCTGCCATCCCTGATCCCTGGTGGTCTTAGTGGTGAGAGTGAACTCTAGCCTGCAGGAACTCTAGCCTGCAGCAACGCTTTGACCTCTCGAGAGGAACCCGACGGAGCTGCTGGCTAGAGCTCCCCGGGTCCTCTCCTGCCTCTGGACCAGTGAGGGAGATCTTGGATCTCCCCTGCCGGCCTCGATACATGAGCGGGCGGTGGGGATTAGAGCGTGATCAGGCATACCCCGTGCGCACGTCTATGATCATATATATAAATAAGTTATGGTGGGGAAAAATTGTGATTGAAAACCCCTTCCACCTGAAGTCTGTGGATAATTAATACAATGTCAAGCAATAATGCAAATTAGTTTAACATAAAATCACATTTTTGCCTCATTCCATTTTAAACATGGATTCCTTTTAACGTGTGTTTCAAAGCTGTTGTATACAGCAAACACCGATTAAAAGGAATCCATGTTTAAAATGGAATGAGGCAAAAACTTGATTCTTTGGTAAACTAATTTGCAAATGCCCAACCAGAATCCTTTGCGGTTGTAACATCGCTGCAGTTATGGGATTTCTGTGGGAAAAGCAAGTCTTATGGCTTGACTACTGTGCAGATTTATGTTTAACATTGTATTAATTATTACATATATATATATTATCACCTTTCTGCCAAGTTGTCATCCTGTTGGGTGCCAGAATAAAAACATAGATTGACAAAGCAAAACAAAATAATTAAAAAGTGCAGTGCATATTGTTAATAGCACTGTTTAACCCCTTAACGCCGTTCTATGCCGTCGCGGCTTTAAAGAGCTTTAAAGCCGTTGTGGCGGCATAGAACTCCGTAACGGCTTAAGCCCAGGGGAGGTCATCTTCGGGAGGGCTGCCTGGGCGGCAAATGAGGCCCCCGGGGGCCATGTGATCGCTCTCAAAGAGCGATCATATGGCCCCCTATAGCTGGCTGTGGATCTGCCAGCAGGGGGGCTGTCTGAAATATCAGACAGTCCCCCTGCTAGTAGGTAGTGTGAAAAAAAAAATTAAACATGTTTAAAATTAAATTAAAAGTTTTTTTTATATTTCATATATGTGTGTGTGTGTGTGTGTGTGTGTATATATATATATATATATATATATATATATGTAACGTCATACAAAGTGTATTTTAATACTAATATTAGTATATATATTAATATTAAAATACACTTAGAATGATGTTTTATATATATATATATAATATGTATATATATTATATATATAATAGATATATACACATATATTATATTTATATATATATATATATATATATATATACATATAATTACAATAATAAATAAAATAAAAAATAAATAAATAAATAAAATATTGAAACAAAATTTTATATAAATTATATATTCATATGTAATTGAAAAAGAAGAGGAAAAATGTGTGTCCATATAAAGAAGTGAAAAGATGCTTTAAAAATCTCGAAGATACTTTATTAAATCAAGGAAAGAGAGAAAACTAACTAACATACAGATATATTGTGAGAACTGTAGCTACTATTCATGAGCTAATGTGGCTCCACACCACAGAGGGTGGTAGCCTGAAACAAAGAGTACACAAGAAAATAAGAAAAAATAACAGGTACGTATAAGAGGCAAAATGCAGCCTAGAACAATTTAATGCTAAGCCAGGATTTAGTATCAATTCACGACGTGATCGAGCCCTGCAAAGCTGTGGCTACAGCTAAAAGATGTTAATGCAACAATATAACATAGCGTCTCAAATGTTGCACTAAGCATGAGATACAATGTAAGCAAAACTGTTCATACTGCAGAAAGCCCCAATAGTAAAGGAAAAGAGTTGTTCCCAATATGTTAACAAATCTGTTCATACTACAAAAAAGCCCTAATAGTAAAGGAAAAGAGTTGTACCCAATAGGTTATGGATGTCCCGCTACATTTGCATAGCCAGATAGGCGTGGGACAGAATTCTCTCACAATGCTGTGCTCCCTAAATACAAAAAGAGACTATGGCTGAATGCTAGAATTCCGTTCGTAGGTAAAGATAATTGATGATTTAGTGTCAAATTCTGAGGTCTGCGAATCCGTAGCTGTAGCCAAAGACGTAAATGCAACAATGTAACTAATGTGTATCTATTCAATAATATAGCGTCTAAATGTAGCGCTAACAATAAAATACAATGTTGGCAAATCTGTTTAAATTGCAAGGGGCTCCAGTAATAAAGGAAAGGATTATTCCCAATATTCCCAATTCTCTCCTAATGCTAAGCTCCCTAAACGGAAGAAGACTTAGGCTGAACGTCAAAATTTAGTTCATAAGTGAAGATAATAACTAAGGAGTAAAATAGTCGGAATAGTGCCTTCGTGGGCACCTTGTATAGTAAAGAAGTGAAGAAGAAGAAGATACAAGGTTACGTACTTAGACAGAAATTACAATAAAAAATGAAAAATTAGTACTCTTGAAGAGAAAACAAAAAATGTGCTTAAACTGTATTGGAATGTAACATCAATACGTAAAGTTACAAATTCCCCAGTTGAACTCAGGGCAATATGAAATAATCTGGCTGTGTAAAAAATCACCATCGAGTAGTATAATCTAGCCGACAGTAAATAGGAGTATACACCTTGAAGAGAGCCCTGAGTGCCACAAGGGGATAAAAGATCCTGGTCGATAACTAATTACCCTGTTTAACAAAAAAAGGCGTTAACCGGCATATTTTTATCAAAAATCAAAACGAGCAATTAGTTCCCGTCAGCAATAGATGGGTATGAAATCCCGACGCGCGTTTCACCTGTTTTAAAGGCTCATCAGGCGAAACGCGCGTCGGGATTTCATTTACCTGATACCCCTGTTCTCACGGCGTTCATACCCATCTATTGCTGACGGGAACTAATTTTTTCGTTTTGATAAAACCTGTTAATGGGGGATTCTGTTGTACTCGTGAGGCATCGCTGATTACAAATATGCGCATTTTTTTGCATTAAAACCTAACAGTATTATGACGTTTACAACTAAAATGTGAGGCGGAACTACAATTTTTTTTTTTTTTAAATTACATTTCTCAGTTTTTTTTTATTTTATTCATAATACATTATGTTTCTTAGCTAAATATTTGATATGAAATGAAAGCCCTGTTTTTCCTGAGCAAAATGATATCTAATAAGTGTGAAAGAGATGAATCACGGTTGAACAGACATATAGTGCAAATTCCAGTTTTTGTTTACGTTTTGTTTTGATCAGAACGTGTACTATTGACTCCATCCTGAAGGGGTTAAGAAAAGGGTTTTACATAATATCAGTGAAGTATTCAGGGAAAAATCTCCAGTCGCATATAATTATACTTTTTCATAATGAATATTTTTAATTGCCCTGAATGGGTGAATGAAGGAATCTTATATTTCTATCTCTGTGTGAGTGACACAGAAGTGTATTTTTTTTTCAATATAATGGAATATAAAGCTTTACTTTTTCTGTTATCAGTTTGTATTTGATCTCTATATGGAAGGAAGGACTATCCTTGAAAAATGTTGCCCAGTATGAAGTTATAATGAGTTTTTTTGTACAAAGAAGGTTGTATTACATACCTGGCTACAATGCAAATATTGGTCCTTGGATCATTGCAGCAAATGCACTGACCACACTGAGGTAAGCAAAGAGGAATGACCTTGTCACCTAAACATGGAAATATTATTTTGATTAATACTGCAGTGCAATTTATGATATGAAAAAAAAAGGTGGCTGTTTATGAACTTCGCACTATGTCCTATTTTTTGTAGATATATTCTGAAAAGTACAAAAATCATATTAAGCTTTGCAGGCACAATGCAAAAAAAAATGAGGAATTTATCTAATATTGACAACCAAAAAAGTGTCGAACTATGCTGGATGGTACTGTACACTGAGTGTGTCACAAAGGAATGTGTGTGCAAAAAGGAGATACAACCAACAGGAACAAAGGACAAAACACACAGATACCAAAAAACATATTTATCTCATTTAGCAAGTCTGTTATACAGTTATTTATAGTAAAATAGGTTGAAAAAAGACTCACTGTTCTGTTAATGTCTGGGGACTTTGTATAATTTGCAAAGACCCCCGATAGTGACATTGCTGCTCTGGTTCCAGGGGCTACTTACCTAAACCTGTCCCTTGTTGGCTGCCATCTGCTCCTCCTCTGCTACTGGTGCTTCAGCTGCCAGAAGTTGACGTCACTGCTGTACTCTTGCATATTGAGGTCTACGTAGTATGCCATGAAACCCTGGGATCCTTTATAGAAAGAGTTAATTTCCCTGCAGCTATCACTGGTGATGGCTGGAAGAAACCACAGGCTTGACGGCAGCAGCTCCACCCAGTGTCAAGCTTTGTCAGGTGGAGGAATAATACTAAGACAAAGTAGTCCCTACCATTTCTTGGATCCTATTACTCTCTGTGGAAGATATTAAAACTTGAGGCAGATGCTAAGTTACATTTTGTAGTAGATAAACAACAAGGAGTCTGTAACTGTATGCAATGCCATTTTAATGGTTTCCAGCTTATTTGATTACAATAAGAATTAAGCAGGCTCTTTGCTTTAATTAATGTGGCCAATGTGCTTCAGCTCAATGAGCTCTAATTCAGCTCAGCCTATCAACGGCCGCCAACCCAATACTTATCTATTAGCAAAGCTGCCAAGGAAAGGAGTGGGGAGGTGTGGTGACTTTGATATTAAACTTCAGTATTAAACTGTGTTAAAAAAGTTATCACGGTAAGGTAAGATGGCATCTGAGAACTGGTCTCTAGGACACATTACACTTGATTGAGGTTAGTTGTTATTGGGCCAATATTGGGGCCAGTGTATTTCTTTAAGGCAAAACTATATTGAACAAATGTGCAGCCTCTAAAATATGGAAGAAAATTTGTCTTTTTTTATACAGAAATTAAAATCTATTAAAGTCTTTGTCTTGCCAGCAGTGTGTGTCACCATTCCTAACTGACCTATACTGAATGAGCTAACCTTGCTTGGTCATTTTAAAGGGAAACTATAGTGCTAGGAAAACAAAGTTGTTTTCCTGACACTATAGCTCTCTCTGCAGTGTTCCCCTTTGTTGCGCACCCCCTCTTCTGTCCCTTACCTGATTACAGTGCCGATGTCCCTCGGCATTAGTTCGTGTTCCAACTTCGCTCCTCCCCCACCGCAAGCAGCCAGCGTGGTAGAAATAATGCACATGTGCACCAATGGCCACACTTGCATTAATATTTCCCCCATAGAAAAGCATGTATAATGCTTTCTTATGAGGCTTTATATGACGCTGGATGTCCTCATGATAGTCACTAGTGGTGGAGTTAACTCTCAAAGGTAATTATTGTGGTTTATTAAAAACTGCAACAATTACCTTTGCAAGGCTAAGGGACCTTGGACACTGCATCCAGACCATTCCAATGAGGTGAAGTGGTCTGGGTGCCTATAGTGTCCCTTTAATGCAGGTTTCCCCAAACTCCGGCCCTCCAGATGTTGCTGAACTACAACTCCCATGAATCTCAGCCTATCTATTTCATTCATAGAATCATGGGAGTTGTAGTTCAGCAACATCTGGAGGGCCAGAGTTTGGGGAAGCCTGCTTTAATGAACATAGCCATGATACAAATCAATGGAACATCATCGCAGTATATGATTTGAAACATTGATTTTAGTTAATTATGTTTACAAATTGGTCTTACCTGGTTTAAATCTTTCCACCCCTTCTCCGATGCTTTCTACAATACCAGCTCCCTCATGGCCAAGAATAATGGGAAAGTATGAATTTTCCAATTTTCCTTTCATTCCGTGGTCATCAGTGCGACATATGCCTGTTGCCACCATCTAAAAATGTGAATATACAATGTTTTATTCTTACTTTTCATATAACATTCTATGTGTTACATCTTCCAGACTGAGTTTAAAGAATTTCATGGAAACTGTAAGAAATAAACTTATTCCAAAATGGTTAGTTTGGGGTTTCTTTTGGTAATTTGTGGATTCTTTCAGAGAGAGTCTCTCAGGCAGTCACTGTTGCTGTTCTACAATTTGTGTTGGTGTCTACATGCTGTGTTTGAAGGGTACAGTTCGTATTTGTCCTGCATCATGCAAAACTTGCAAATACTCTGGGGAAGTAATTATGCTATCTGAGCTGAGCTTGGAAGTAGGCTTACAAGTCATAGTAGTAAATATCAGACTTCTGGGCATAACACATTTGCCCAGCAATAGTAGTGTGTGATGAAATGCCTTTCGTCTCTAGATTTTTAGGTGACAAGTTGCCATTTGCCCCTGGCTGTTGGAGGAGCCTGAGTGCCAGCCTCCTGCCTCATGACTACGGCCCTGGGTTGTATGGCACTTTACAAACCTTATTTGGGCTAATGGATTTATATTGTGCTGCTGCTGGCCCTTTAAGACCTGCCTTGTGGGTTATGGGACTGGTGCTGGCCCTTTAAGCACCTTTTTGGGGCATAGGGAAAATTGGGACACTGCCCCAGTCCCACTGCCCCACTGCCCCAGTCCCCTGTGTCCCCAGACCTGGTTAAAACTCTTTGTGCCTGGCTATTTCCCACTTGGTTCAGTAAATGGGGCTTACTGAACCAAGTACCACACAGGCGGACCACCCAGAAGTGGAAGTGTGCAGGCAATTTACCTCCCAGAAGCTGCTGTTAACCGCAGCTTAGTTGACCATGCTGGGTGACCTTTGTTCGTTTGCCGAACACGTGGCGGCAGCCATCTTTGTTAATGCGAACGAGTTCAGCGGTATGTGTAGCCAAATTCATGGAACTAAAATCGGCTACACATTCCCGCGAACACCGCTGAGCCCTACCTTCTCCCATACTGATTTTACAGCCACAGAGACTAAGTCCCATTCGGCGATGGGACTTAGTCGTTTTTTCAGCCTGAAATAGACCGGCCGCACAGCCCAAATCTATGGGACTGTTTTGGGCTGGAAAATGTGCTTGTGGTCGGTCATAAAGGGACCTCCAGCTAACTTTTTAACCCCTGGATGGATTTATCTGATTTTTGGTTATGTTTATATTTAAAGTGTGCTGATTCCAAATATAGTAATTTTAGTAATTTTTATGAAGATTGGATGTGTAGTTTTAAAGTTATAGTACATGTATAAAAACTGTATTTTTACTGCCTGTGTTAATTATGTTAAACCATTGTGCAACATAATTATATCACATGCAGAGGGGAGGATTTTTGTGTGTAATTGCTGGGAGTGTTTCTGTAATGTACGTTGTTATTTTATTACAATTGCTATTACATAGATAATGTTAGGGATTTCACAAAGTTAATATTTAATTCTTATTGCTCAATATGGTGTGTACAGTTATCCCATAATACAGTGCTCTTTATTAAACATTAAACCCAGTTGCACATAATTGGCCACATAAATCTGTTTTTATCTCCACAATTATTGCAAAATGTTAATCTGTGACTTTGATTTTGCAATTTAAGCAGTTTATACCTCAAATGATTGCTATAAATGTTAATTTGTGACTGCGATTTTGCACTGTAAGTATAACTCAAATGATTGCACCATTTTAATCCGGGAATGTGCAATTTAAAGGGTTACTTTTAAGCAATTTACTGGGTTAATTTAAGCAGCACCATGACCACATAGGAGTGCCCTGGTAGAGTCAAACCACTTTAGAAAATACTTCTTAAAGAGAGCTGGAAGCTACTGCTTTTAAGATTCTATTGAGTAAAGCTCATTAATTGAGAGCATCAGCTGATCGCTCTCCACCTAAGCCCTGCACTGCACAGTAGCTGCACAATTGCTATTTTTTATTACAATGTGTAGCCACTGGTTGCTCACTTTTTAAAAGACTTTACCCTAACAGCGGCATGGTGGGTGGGGCATAAAGGAGGTTTCAAACCTCCCTTATACTAATTGGGGGAGGTCATATACTGACTACCTTAGGCCTTTACTTTTACTTTTACTATTTGCACCCTTGCTGCTAGTGCTGCTGTGGCAAATGGTAAAAGCAAGCATTTATCAACTCCTTTTAGGTGACCAATTATCAGGGATTAAATGCCTGATACATAAAAATTATTCACCAAAATCAACCCTTTCAATTTAAAATATAGGTATTGGTTTCGATATTGGAAAAACTAAAAAAGAACTGTAGTCAGCCTACTATAGTACACTAGGAAAAGGGGGGTAACCCCTAGGTAGAATTGGTGAAAAAAGCTAGAAGTAGTGTACCTAAAATGGATACTGGGAGAAATAACGGATATGACCCAGGGTAACTCCAGATAAAGTAAAGTTACCAGAGCTAAAATCTAAAAGACCAAATGGTCAAAATAACAAATACTTTATTAGAGATTCTAATAGTATTATCCCAAAGTGCTAACACACACAAAAAAGTAAAAAATACGGTAGTCAATGAGAGCACACGTCTGTGCTGAAATGACTAGGGAGAGCGGCTGCTCACTTCAGCACAGACGTGCTCCCATTGACTACCGTATTTTTGACGCCAGAGTCTATTGACTTTTGTCAATATATATTTATATGGAAAAGGGGGGTAACCCCTAGGTAGAATTGGTGAAAAAAGCTAGAAGTAGTGTACCTAAAATGGATACTGGGAGAAATAACGGATATGACCCAGGGTAACTCCAGATAAAGTAAAGTTACCAGAGCTAAAATCTAAAAGACCAAATGGTCAAAATAACAAATACTTTACGGTAGTCAATGGGAGCACATGTCTGTGCTGAAGTGAGCAGCCGCTCTCCCTAGTCACTTCAGCACAGACGTGTGCTCTCATTGACTACCGTATTTTTTACTTTTTTGTGTGTGTTAGCACTTTGGGATAATACTATTAGTTACTATTACAATCTCTAATAAAGTATTTGTTATTTTGACCATTTGGTCTTTTAGATTTTAGCTCTGGTAACTTTGCTTTATCTGGAGTTACCCTGGGTCATATCCGTTATTTCTCCCAGTATCCACTTTGGTTTCGATATTGGAATCCATATTCATTTGTTCCCAATAAATCTGTAACGGCAGTAATGTAATCAATCTTAACCTATAAATGTGATCACCTCTAATTTAATCAAACCATAGTTATCATATTTGTTAGAAAGACAGTATAAATATTCAGCTTTACATTAATGTATGAAAAATAGCAAGTTTTTACCTTAATTCTGATTTCATTGACTTTTGGGGGAGCCACTTCCACCTCTTCAATTGAAAATGGTTTGTTTACTCCCCAGGTAACAGCTGCCCTGCATTTGATAATCTATATTAAAAAAAACAAAAAACATAAGCAATTATAAATTAAATATTTATTACACTACATAAATATTTCATACAAACTAAAAGCTAGTAGTGTGTGTCTGTGTGTTTGTGTCTGTCTGTCTGTCTGTCTATCTATTTATCCTAAACAAGAGAGCTTTTATTGCAAATTTAAGGGGGGAAAATGGGACTTCTGATTGTTCAGAAGTTCCTTTTTTTGCATATACATATTGTTTTGTTTAGTGTGGATACCTACATTAAATGAGAATATCACTATAGTTCCTCATACAAACCCAGACAAATACATATTTGTCTCTACTTATAATGTCTCCATAAAGGACAAAAGGCTGCCTATCCATATTAATCTATTAATTTGTTTCCAGTATAATTTCAGCACTTTAATATATGCAACATATGCTACTCTAAGGCTTAAATGTTGAATGCATTTAAAGAAAGGTCAGACTGAGGGATCAAGTGACATCTATGGAGGCACTGACTGCCTCACTCCACCCCACAGCCAGATGGAAAACTCTGCAGTTATCACTATTACTATTCCATTTAATACATAGTTTTTTAATATACTACACTATATTCTGTTTTGTATATTTTAGATGTGGAAAATGTCTAAATGAGAATATTTTATATGTACAGGTCAATTTTATTTTTTTTCCCGATCACATTTGGGTCATGCAGGTATATGCTCTTCATGCTGGTTTTTGGTATGTTATTTAAAGGAATCATGTCCAGCAATTAATTTTAAAATGAAAGTGGTTTCCTCCATATAGTTTTCACATAAGCTCAATACAAACAGGGTTTTTTTTCTAACTATCTGCGATCAATTCATCTGCTGCTGATTATTAGAGGCAACACTTGTTAAATATCCATCTAGCTAAGTTACATAGAAACATAGAATGTGACGGCAGATAAGAACCATTCGGCCCATCTAGTCTGCCCAATTTTCTAAATACTTTCATTAGTCCCTAGTCTTATCTTATAGTTAGGATAGCCTTATGCCTATCCCACGCATGCTTAAACTCCTTTACTGTGTTAACCTCTACCACTTCAGCTGGAAGGCTATTCCATGCATCCACTACCCTCTCAGTAAAGTAATACTTCTGATATTATTTTTAAACCTTTGTCCCTCTAATTTAAGACTATGTCCTCTTGTTGTGGTAGTTTTTCTTCTTTTAAATATAGTCTCCTCCTTTACTGTGTTGATTCCCTTTATATATTTAAATGTTTCTATCATATCCCCCCTGTCTCGTCTTTCCTCCAAGCTATACATGTTAAGATCCTTTAACCTTTCCTGGTAAGTTTTATCCCGCAATCCATGAACCAGTTTAGTAGCCCTTCTCTGAACCCTCTCTAAGGTATCAATATCCTTCTGAAGATACGGTCTCCAGTACTGTGTACAATACTCCAAGTGAGGTCTCACCAGTGTTCTGTACAATGGCATGAGCACTTCCCTCTTTCTACTGCTAATACCTCTCCCTATACAACCAAGCATTCTGCTAGCATTTCCTTCTGCTCTATTACATTGTCTGCCTACCTTTAAGTCATCAGAAATAATCACCCCTAAATCCCTTTCCTCATATGTTGAGGTTAGGACTCTATAAAATATTCTGTACTCTGCCCTTGGGTTTTTACGTCCAAGATGCATTATCTTGCACTTATCCACATTAAATGTCAGTTGCCAGGAAAAAGTCACTTTTGCGAACAAGAGAACTGGAAGCTGAATGTGCTCTCTCTATAAGTGAACTATTGTTTTTTATATTGGACAAGCCAACCAATCATTGGTTGAAAGTTAATGTAAGGGTACAGTGGAGCCAGGTTTTTGTTTCTGTAAAGTTGTTACATTTGTTTTAAATAGACAGGCCTTGGTTTCTATCTTTACGGACCAGTGTAAACCAGTCTAAGCACCATAAGTACCCTGACCCATTCTTATTTCTGACAGTAACTTAAAGCGGCAATCATTTTAAAAATCCACCAGGACTGCCCAGTACATTTTTCCAGGATGCCTTGTATTGTCCCTACTGTACATGCACTATCAGTGGCGTCTCTAGGATTCATTTTTTGGGGGGGCACATGGAGGGCCAGTGACAAAGGTAGGGGGGCACATTTAACCCCGCCCTCATCGCAGTTTGACACCGCCCCTGTCGCATGTTAAGTCACGCCCCCGACACAATGTGTTTTGTTTTTTTAATAATACCTGGTGGAGGATTCATTATTTTCCACCAGGGATTATTAAAAAAACAAACACATTATCCTTGATACAGTGCCATAGTTGCCAACATTTGGAAAAAAAATTCCAAGGACGTTTTGCAGCACAGCTATCAATTACTGTCTGGGTATAATATCCCTGGACAGTCAGTGCTCTCTGTATAATACAGGGTTGTGTGTATAATAAATTGGGACACTCAGTGCTCCCTGTATAGTGCTGCTCTCTGTATAATACAGGTCTGTTTGTGTATAATATCCCAAGACAGAGAGCAGCACTATACAGGAAGCACTGACTATCCCGGGATATTTTATACACACAGATCTGTATTATACAGATAGCTGAGCATAAACCCCAATCTCTAGACTACTAGTACCTGTCAACAGCAGCTCCCAGACGCGTGTAACAGGGCTAAAGTGTGCGGCAGCTCACACAGATTATTCAGCGGTAAAGTGCACTCGCTGGCAGAGCCAAACTGGGAATCCCTGGGAATCCAAAGCAGCCCTGGAAAAAAAACGTATGCCATTCCCACAAGTCATATATATATATATATATATATATATATTATTACAGTAAGCACACAAGCTCACTGACATGCGCAAATAGGCTTACTGACAGACAAAACTCTCTGACTCACACACAAGCTTACTACAGACACTCACTTGTATAAACAGAAGGCTCACTACAAAGAAGTTCAGGGACACACACACAAGCTCACTAAAGACAAGCTCACTGACACACACATGCTCACTAAATAGAAGCTCACTGACACACAGGGCCGGTGCAAGGATTTTTGCCGCCCTAGGCAAAAGTAAAGTTTGACGCCCCCCTCCTCCCCCCCGTGACATCGCAATGCCCCACCCATATGACCTGCCATGTTAACTAACGCTAGTGCTGCAGTGCCGCTGTGTTTACATTAAAAGGCCTGCAGGGACAGGCTATAGACACCAGGACCACTACATTAAGGTGCAGTGGTTCTGGGGACTATAGTGTTTCTTTAATGTGAGGTAAATTAGAGATTAGTGCCACGAATAATATACTAGATTACCTACTTACAAGCAGATGAGGATGATGATGGGCTCTAGCTGCAGTCTGGCTCCACTGGTCTGGTGTAGAACAGGATCTCTGGAGGCTGTTTGTAACTGTGGTCACACAAATCAATGTTCTGGGAGAACGAGAAGCAGCTCCATTTTTTGGGGGCCCTTTACACAGCTCAAGGTCTGGGTCCCAGGGTCCACCTTCATTTTCCACCAATGAGTTTGTTCACAGGGGATGGAGTGTGTAGGGAATGTCCTGATTTGTGTGTAAGGAATGCATTGTGTGAATCTGTGTTTGTATGTGTAAGGGCTGCAAGGTGTGTTTCTGTGTATGTAAGGGATGAAGTGTGTGAGTCTGTAAGGGGTGCATTGAGTGTGTGTAAGGAATGCATTGTGTGTTTCTGTGTGTGTAAGGGATGCATTGTGTGTAAGGGTTGCATTGCGTGTGTGTGTAATGCATTGTGTGTTTTTCTGTGTGCAAGGGGTTCATTGTCTTTGTGTGTAAGGGGTGCATTGTGTGTGATTGTGTGTGTGTGTGTGATGGATGTCAATCTCTCCCCCCTCCCTTGTCACTCTCTTCTCCCCCCCTCCCTTGTTACTCTCATTCCCCCTCCCTCCCTGTCAATTTCTCTCTCCCCGTCAATGTCTCCCCCCCGTTAGTTTCTTTCTCCCCTGTCAGTTTCTTTCTCCCCCCTCCTGTCCAGTTTCTTTCTTCCCCCCTCCCCTC